AGTTTAAGGAAGATGATGCAGTTTTATGTGTAAGACCGGGCATGAGTTTTCACAGAAGGAAGTTTCCAAAAGGCTTGCAGGGTGCCATGGTGAGTTTCAAGAGAGTTTCTTGCCACAGTTCCTAACTAGTGGGACATGGCCCTTGTAGGAATACTCCAATTGCAGTGGCTTATTTTTCCTAGGCAAGATCTAAACATGACTGCTTTGCAACGATGTTAATCTGGAGATGAAGCCCAGGGGCATCTCTGTCCATCAGGGAAGGGTCCTGTTACTTCAGCAAGGAGGTCACACACCCCCAGAAACCATGGGGTGGCTCACCAGAAACCAGAGATGAGTTAATATAAGATAGAGGGAAAGGTTCATTGTAGGTAAAGTCTAAATGGATTATTAGTTTTCACAGGTTCAGAGCCAAACAAGGCCATGTGGATCATGGTTGCTTCATGCCTGGGCTGAGAGCTAACTCAGGGTCTCATTCTTTAAAGGGAAGATAAATGCTGTGTCCCCAAACCTTTAACCTGTGAGTAGGAAATTGAGGCAGTGTCTTTCCGGGACAGTGCATCACTTCCTCAGGCAAGAAGAGGTGTCCCAGTCCTACAGATAAGGTTTTGAAGAGCAAAGCCCTTCACATCTACTACTCCACAAACTCAGGTGTTGTCAGCATGGAGCCCTGGCTGTTAATGGGCAGAGGCCGTTGTTCCCAGTTCCCTTCTCCTGTGGATGGGGTGGGTGCCATGGCTTCTGATGGTCACCCGGCTCACACCCCGGTCACACCTCTCTTCAGAAGGGGACTAGGGCTGGGTCTAATGCTGTGCTCCCCAAGTGAGTATTTTAGTAGTTTTTTCTTTGAACTTGTCCCACACTTATATTTTGCAATGAGCCTTGCTCAGTAGCTGGCCACTTGTATTCAAGTTAGCACTTTGAGTTCCCCTAAACAAACCCTCTAGGTAGGTATGGCTCGAGTTTTATACACGATGGTCCTGAGGACTAGAAAGCCATGTCTGAGGCCACAGGCAAAACTGACTTGAAAAGTCAATTAAAATTGGCTGCAAATCCAACAAAGAGTTGTGTCCAAGGCCTCAGCATGCTAAGTGGCAGTGGTGTAAATTGGAGCAAATCATCCTCTCTTCACAGGGTCTTGCCTGCTGCCTGCAGTCAGCACAGGGTCCTGAGCACTTCACCAGGGCCTTCTCCTGTAAGGTGAAAGCTAGCATAGTGCTGTCAAAGGCCAGCTATCAAATGCTGATGAGACCGGAAGTGGGCGGGCACAATCTCTAAAAGAATGACAGGGACTTCCCTGGTGGTCCAGTCATTCAGAATCTGCCTTGCAACGCAGGGGATGTGGGTTCAGTCCCTGGCCTGGGAACTAGGATTCCACGTGAAAGAAAGAAAGTGTCGCTCAGTCGTGTCCAACTCTTTGCCACCCCCATGGACCCTGGCCCACGAGGCTCCTCCGTCCATGGCATTTTCCAGGCAAGAATACTGGAGTGGGTTGCCATTCCTTCTCCACTTACCGTGGGGCAACTAAACCAGTGTGCTGAGATGAATATCCTGCATACCGCAACTAAGACCTGAAGTAAATATTTTTTTAAAATCCCTTTGTGACAGGGCAGCTAGGTGACACACCCAGAGGCACCACGACAGTTCCAAGGCTGACCATAAAGATCAAAAAGTGGGTGTTGACCCAGTTCCTGGAAATCCCCACCCTTTCCACAAAATAGCTGGCATGCTCCTCCCTCTCATCCGCCTATGAAGTGACCCACCCCTATAAACACTGACAGCCCCATACCCTGGTGCTGGCCTTGCCTTCCAGGATGGCCCACACACTCTGTGTAGCATGTTTCCTCCCTGGATTGACCTTCTTCCACTTCACTGTGACTCGCTCTTGAATTCCTGCCTATGCATAGCCAAGTACCCACACTTGGTGGCCATCCCAGGGACTCAGACATGACCTGGGATATGACCATCCTCTCTCACCCCACTCTCTTGCCCTCAACACTGCTGCAGTCTCCTCCAGCCTCAGAGATCCCTGGAGCGTTAAAAGAACCCCGTCTTTTCAGGTTGTTCATTGTTTCCTTTGCTGTGCACAAGTTTTCAGTTTGATGGATCCTACCATCGAGCTTTGTTTTTGTGACTTGTGTTTTTGGTGTCAAGCTCAAAACCATCCTTGTGGAGACCCATGCCAAAGAATTTTTCTTCTATGCTTTCTTTTAGGAGTTGTGTGGTTTTTGTAAACCTTTACTCTATCTTGCATTGAATTTTGTATATGATACAAGAGATCTTACTTGATCAACCAGGGACGGAACTTGTGCCCCCTGCATTGAAAGCTAGGGATCTTAACCACTGGATTGCCAGGGAAATTCCAGTTGTAATTGCTAATTTGTCTGTTTCTCCACTTATTCCTATAAGTTTTCTTTAAGAATTTTAAACTTCCTTTGCTAAGTACATTCTGATTCAGTATTCATATGTATTCTTGATGAATTAACATTTTATCATTAGGATAAATACCCCTCTCTATATCTGGTCCTTGTCCTAGAAGTTACTTGATTGTGTGCCATGCTTAGTCACTCAGTCGTGTCTGACCCTTCGTGACCCCATAGACTGTAGCCTGCCAGGCTCCTCTGTCCATGGGGATTCTCCAGGCAAGAACACTGGAGTGGGTTGCCATGCCCTCCTCCAGGGCATCTTCCCAAACCAGGAATCGAACCCAGGTCTCCCGCATGGCAGGCAGATTCTTTACCATCTGAGCCACCAGGAAGCCTGTCAATTAACCAATACAGCCTCCTTTGTTTTCTTTAAATTAATGTTTCCACAGCATATCTGTTGTGTCAACAGTGAAGAATCTGCCTGAGATGCAGGAGATGCAGAGACATGGTTATGATTCCTGGGAGGGGGAGATTCCCTGAAGGAGGGCATGGCAACCCACTGCAGTAACCTTGCCTGGATGATTCCATAGGGGTCACAAGAGTGTTGGACACGACTGAGCGTCTAAACAACAGAAACAGCATATCTGTTTCCATCCTTTCATTTTTAATCCATTTGCCTTTATATTTGATATCTCAAGTGGGTTTTTTAATAGATAATTAATACGTGATTCTTGCTTTTCTTGTTTTTTTGGGTTTTTTTTTTAACTGAAATAACCATCTCTTTCCTTAAGATAGTGTCTAGAATCTTAGCATCACAGTTTATCCCATAAGGCTGAACCAAAATTCCAAGTAGTATCATAGACTTCATTTTTTTTAGAGCAGTTTTAGAATTGACTGAAAAGCACAGTTTTCCCCTATGATTTCAGCAACTCCACAGTCCACAGAGGGCAAATAGTCGGACACAACTGGAGCGACTTAGCACACAGGCACACAGCCCTGATGCTGACGCCCGTTGCTGGTTTTCTGTCCAGAAGTGAAGATGACTGCATTCTCTGAACTTTGACCCCACTCTCTTCGACTCAGAAGAATTGTTGGCCTGTTTGGGTTCTTATTCCCCATGCTCTAGGCCTAGAAATCTGTAGAGGCTGGAGATGTCTTAAGTCTCACTTCAGTTGTTTTCTTTTCTTATTCTTTAAGCACAGACATTATTACAATTTAATTAGCTAATTCATTAATTTGTCTGCCTTGGAGCTTAGTCACAGCAGGCAGAATCTAGTTGAAGCATGTGAGATCTAGTTCCCTGACCAGGGGTGACCCAGGCCCCCAGTGTTGGGAGCACAGAATCCAGCCCCAGACCTCCAGGGAAGTCCCTCACCTCACCTGTTTTCTGCTCTCCTCAAGTTCGGTCCTGCATTGCCTGTGCCAGAGCCTGAATCAGTGGTTTCACAGGTTTTGCCTGCTTCCTTAGTTGTGTACTGTAGAAGGGAGCATGCAGTCCCATCACGTCCTGTTTTTTTTTTTAATGCTGAATTGTGGGGTCCAAGCTCTTGTCTTTGAGTGTCTGCCCTTTCTTCCTGAGAACTCAGTTCCTTGACTGGGGGCTCTAGTTGGGGGTGATGGGCCTGCCACCACGTTTGCTGGAATCATTCTGTATCAATCTCCAGAGACCACTGAATAGTTACAAGGCCTTGGAATGTAATTCAGCTCACATAAGGGAGGACATGGCAACCCACTCCAGTATTGTTGCCTGAAGAATTTTATGGACAGAGGAGCCTGCTGGGCCCCAGTCCATGGGGTCACAATAAATTCTCGTTGAGCAGCTTTTGTGCCAAAACACTTGGGCCAGAAGTGATTAAATGATGAAGTGCCCTTCGAAATCCTGCAAGCAAATATGGAGATTGGAAATATGCAAATATAGTGAATGTAAAAATCAGGCAGGACTCAGAGATGGAGCACTCAGATCAGAACCCTTTTAAAAGGAAAGATCATATTTGTTGGGGAAACAAATATGTGTTTTTAAGAAGGAGGTAGAATTTGAGGTGCCCCTGAGAGATGGGTTTGGAGACATAGCTGGAGGAGAGATTTTATCCAGGCCTGAGGTCAGTCAGAACAGAGGCAAGAGTGAGAGGAAAGCTGAAGGCAAGGTGGAGGAGGAGCCAGGTCCCCGTGTCTCTGAGCTGGAAAGTGCTCAGAGGACCTGGGAGACCCTCAGGGAAGCCCTGCAGTTTCAGAGATGGATTTGCTGGGGAGATGCCATGACAGATGGACAGACTGCACAGCTCAGATGGGTGACAGAAGGCAAAGGAAGTGATTCAGAAAGAACAAGTGGTCCAGCCTCGTTGTGGAGTGAAAGCTGTGAAAGAGGAATAAATTCTGACAATCTTTGGAACATCAGTTGAGACCCTCGTGTGGCTTCCTCTAGGGATTATACTTTATTTGAATTAAAGGTGAGTCATTAACACTTTCTAAGTTGCTTATTTGGTAACAACTAGCACAATAAACAGAATGTTAATAAATAATCATGATAATAATCAAGCTCCTAATTTTTTGTAAAAAGTCTTTAATTTGAATTGATTCTGGGGCCTTCAAGGAGGCATTTTCACACTATGCAACATTCTCCTCGTGTTTCTGGATTTTTCATTTCTTCTTTCGGCAGCATTTTCAGCAACTTGGAAACAGCGGCCTATTTGTTCCTCCTTTGGAAGGCAGCCGATCAGAGCACACCGGCCACTTCTTCTTTTGCAGTAATACTTTTGTAACCTGCTTATGATTCCACCATTTCCTGCGTTGAGGAAATGGAGCACACAGAAGGTTTTAGGAAGGCTGCGGTGCAAGTCCAAGGCTTTTGAAATCTCTCTAATAAGTTATCTGTTGCCATTTTCTGTTCTTTTATGTCTTTTTCTTCTTTCTTTACCATCTGCAGTAAAGAAGAAGGTGGGGCTAGCTACTAACAATGATTCTGTGGGTTTGGCTCAGCTGAGAAAGTTGCATGACAGTGGTAGCCCTCTTGTGAACTGACACCTGGGAGGCAGGGGCCACGATGGTCCCCCAAGTCCTTTAGAGCCCTAAAGACTGTACCTCCAACCGCTAAGCTAATAAAGGGGAACCTGTGCTTCTCTCCTCAGATTAAGTTTATTTTTCCTGTTGATATTAAAGATTTACATCACTTTCTTCCTGTCTCATGAACAGGTATAACAATCCTCCCATGGAGGGATGGTTTGTGAGCTGATTAGTCTCTTAAGAGTGAATCAGAAGGGATGGAGACCCTACTTTGAGCTTCTTGATGGTCTTTGTCAAGAAAAAAAAAAAAAGAGAGAGACAAAAACTGGTAATGTCTAGTTCCCAAGCAATAAATCTCCTTTATCTAAAATTCCCAAATGAATGGAGAGTGTTGACTCTGACTGACAAATTCTGATTCCATTCAGCCCTGTCATTTCCCAGCACAGCTTACCTGGAACAGGCAGCAAGAAAAAGAAGAGCAACGCAAAGGGAATGTAGTAGACCCTCATGGCTGGCTGGCTTCCCAGCTGAGACTGGACAGGATGGTCTGCTCGCTAACTTTATATAGGCTCCACGTCCATAGCCATAGGGAGAAGCATTCAGCAGCTGCAATTCATGTAATATTACAGTGATGACAATATGATGTATTTCCTTCAGCTTCATGCCAAGGTCCCTTACAAAGCAGACCACGCCCATTCCCCCCAGGAGTTAATTACACACCTCAGGGAGACTCAGAGCCTGATGTGAGCACAGGCCTGTTCTGATGCCTCTGAGGTCTGGGTGCTCGTGTAGGGCTGGCTCATGTCTGGCTGTCTGAGACGGGAAAGACCTGCCCACTCCTGGATGCAGTCCTGGGGCATGTAGCTGGGAGCTCACCTGTGCCCACTCTGGTCTTCTAAGCTTTTGCCTTCTTCCTAAAGTCCTGGGAGAGCCTGAGCCCCATCAGTCCAGTCCAAGGCCGGTGTATTCAGAATCTATGTGTAAAGTGGGGCTGGGTCACGCCCTGAGCCTGCACGGATATACCCAAAATGGAATCAGCTTTTAAGTAGCGTGGGAAGGGAAGGAAAGTGGGCTGCATTCCAGAGACTCTGCCCTGTGTCCTTGGCCTGTGATGGAGTGTGGCCTCTGAGGTCAAACACAGCTTATACTTACTGCAGTCTGAAAACCACCAAATTCGTGAGTCAGGAAGGTGTCTGACGTTTCTCTTCAGGGCTGCGGCCCTTCATTGCCAGCTGGAGAGTCCTGAGGGCATCTTCCTGGGACACAGGACCAGCAGCGCCCACAGAGGTGGCTGCTCCTCGGGGGTGGGGTCTGATCAGAGCCCCTGGTCCTTCACGGGTTGGCGTCTTTTGAGCAATAATTAATTTTGGCTCTTTTTAGATCCTACGATCTGGAGGTGCTGTCACTGCAGCACAGCCTGGAACATGCTGTCACCTGAGGAGGGCTGCAGGGAAAATGCAGGACACCCAGTTTAGCTTGGATTTCAGGTGATCAACAAACAATCTGGTAGGATAAGTATGTCCCAAGTGATGCAGAGATCACATCAAGCTAAAGTATTTGTTGTTTATATATATACAAATATATAAGTTTATATATATATATAAATATATAAACAAATCTATAAGTGTGTTGTTCATATAATTCAATAGGTAAATTTGTTTTTTGGGATTGTTGAATACTTAATAAAAACCTGGTCCTTGGAATCAAACCCACTTGGGATTGAGGCAAAGTCCTCCCTATATACAACCTGCACGACTTTGAACTAATTACTTTATTTCTAAATCCCAGAAGTAAATCGGGGCTAAAAACACCTATCCCATAAATAGTGCTGTGAGGAATACATTTGGGATAAGACATTAAAAGTTTTGGTGTCTCAGTAAAGAGGAAGTGGTCAGTATAATTTGCTATTACTATTAGTGTTACTGTTAGGCACATGAAATGATTTGGAAGCTGTAAAGTCTCCTGTAAATGTTATCTATCACCATTAAAATTTATGGACTTACTACCAACTAGTTAAGGGCAATCATGGGAGACTATTTATCACTTTAAGCTTCTCTTTCCTTATTTGAAAAATGAAGCATATTTTATATGCATGCTTCCTTCAGATATATTGTTCAGTTGCTATATATTTCAGCATATCACTGAATGAGGAATCAACCTGACTTTCCCTACTCCAGGCTCCAAGTTTGGAGCCAGCTTAGCCAACGGTTACCTGATGTCGTCTAGATAAGACATATGAGTAAGCGGAAGAGAAGGTACAGGAGCCTCATGATGGAAGAGGAGCTTTCTGGATTCCGGGTCGACCCGGCAGTGTCTGATGGCACACCTGAACTGGGCAGGCGATTTGGGAAAGAGTTTGACTAACAGATAGAGAGAAAGGACTTGTATTCCGACTGGTGGTGGTACTGTGCTCAGTCTGGTTGGACTCTTTGCAACCCCGGGGAATGTAGCCCACTAGGTTCCTCTGTTTATGGAAACTTCCAGGCAAGAGTACTGGAGTGGGTTGCCATTTCCTACTCCAGGGGATCTTGCTGATCCAGGGATCGGATCTGGGTCTCCTGTGTTTCGTTACCACTGTGCCACCTGGAAAGTCCCTACTGGAGATATTCAGTTATGGCCTGGGAGTAAGTTGAGGGTGTCTCATCTGTGGACTCAGGGTCCCAGACCCAAGTGTCTCCCTTTTGTAAAGGAAGAGGTTTGCAGGAAGTCAGGCTTTCCACATTGGTTCTCAAGTCTCCTTATGGCTCTGAGGTTTGGGGTTTTTTTGTTTTTGTTTTTGTTTTTTGAGAAAAATCATTAAAAATTGCATTCTGTTAACAAATTATTCATTTATTTATTCAGTTTTTTGCATATCTCTGCATCTGTCTCTTTATCCCTTAAGAATACATACTGCCTCCCCCAAACCCCACACACAACTTTTGCAATTAAAAAATAAAAGAAGTTTGGAAACAGAAATGATCTTCTCTCCTTTTGTACTCTCAACATAGTTCTTGCTACCATTTCCAGAGAGACTGATCCATCCTAAGCAAGCTTACCAGGTCATCTATTGCACAGACCACAATGAGGTGAGGCTTTGTAGGCTAGAGAATTTCTTACTACAGGTATTTCATCAACATATTCTTAACTCAAAAGCATAGAAGGGTACTAGTGGTAGGGCGTCCCAGGTGGTCCTAGTGCTAAAGAGCCCACCTGCCAATGCAGGAGATGCAGCTGTGATCTCTGGGTCAGCAAGATCCCCTGGATGTCAAATAACTCACTGCACTGTTCTTGTCTGGGAAATCCCATGGCCAGAGCGGCCTGATGGGCTGTAGTCCGTGGGGTTGGAAGGAGTTGGACATGACTGAAGGAACTCAGCACACACGCATACCAGGTAAATAACTGAAATTTTTCTCCATCTCTTCCTTCTCTCCATCTCAGTTTTGCTTTACAGTGTTCATATCTCTCTTTTCTTTATATGTAAATTTCTAAAGCAACAAGTCCTGTATTATTATCTCACATCTAGAACAGAGCCTGGCACAGAGCAGGTAGTCAGTCAAACATCTGTATGAACAGGTCCTAGTATGGAAACGTCAACCTATTGGTGAATGAATAAATGGATGAATGGAGGGGATCAGGGAAAGAAGGAGGGAAGGAGGAAAGGAAGGAAGGCTCGGGCAAAATCCTTAGAGTTTTGAGGGTCTGGAGAGAGCCCATTAAGTTCTTTATGCCAAAGTGTTCCTGAGCACAAGCACCCACTCACCCATCCCCAACATAACAGGTCAAAGCTTGTCATAATATGTCATGGTCTCTAGTCTTCACTCACCCGCCTCTCCTCCATCTTACATGAACTGTATGTTCTGACATTTTTCTCCCTGTTCTGAAGCAACTTTGCAATAAAATGTTATCACTTTTAATCTTTTGATCAGCATTTGAATCTTTCACTAAGTAGAGATCTATTTTAGTTAAGTGACATCAACTTAAAATAGAATGAGTGTTTGCTGTAAGCTGTTTCAATAAGTCTTACCTAATTCTACAGAATAGCTGTGAGGGTTTTACTTCCTTGGTCCCAGCAACAGTACTTTTATAATAATAGAAAAGAAAGTATAAACTAAAAGCACTGGGTCACATATCTCTCTGGTACTCTTATACTGAAAGCCATCCTTTTCACTGACTCCCTACATGTTACGCATGTATTCCCACCTCTTCTGCAACCACAGATGTCTCTCTCTTCTGACAACCTACTTGCAGTTGGCTCCTCCGCCCTTCTCAGGAGGACTGCGGCCCGTCCACTCAGGCAGAGACCCGGGGAGCCCCTGTCCATTGCCACACAATGAGGGGCTAGGTCAACAAAGGGCAGAGGAAGGGCTGAGTGAGGTCACACAGGATGCCTCGTGATCCCTGTTGGCAGGAGTCATCCTGGGGGAGAGGGCTGGGACCAGCCAGACTTGATGGTACCAACACCCTGAGAGTGATGAGAGGAAGTGGGGGCTGCAACACTACTTCTGAAGAGTTTTGCTGAAAAACTAAGTGCAAGGAAGACCCAGCTCATGATTGCTATCATGTCAAAGAAGAACTGTTTCATTTTTTTAGGTTGTTTTTTTTTTTAAAAAAAAACACTGGCTTTTGCGGGTGTTTTTTTTTTTTTTTTTTTGTCTGTTTTGGAACTTTTGGCCTCTTCTTTAGCATGTGGAATCTTAGTTCCACAACCAGGGGTGGAATCCAGCCCCCTGCACTGGCAGCATGAAGTCTTTAACCACTGTACTGCTGGGTAAATCTCTGCTTTTAGTTTGTATAGATGCGGTG